ATAATTCAGATTTAAAGTAGTATTATATTGACTTTGAATGTTTATTATTTGTTTTATATATTAATTTTATATATGTATATATTTAATGGATATATATAAATATATGAAACATATTTCTTAAACTCTGTAGAAATTGAATTTTAAAAGTATACATTATAATTTAAGAATTTGTCAGATTAAGATCATGTATACTCTTAAAAATTAAATCTTCACAGTGTGATAGAAATACAATCTTGAAAGGTACCCTTGGGAATAGGAAAAATACTCAACAAAAAATATCTATCATTAACAATGTTTATTTTCATGTTTGTGACTGCAATGGCATTCATATCTTTATTGTCTCAAAGTTAATGGTCAAGTGTTGGCTGAACAATAAAAACAAATTTGTTTTTAATAATCAGCAATATAATAAAATATAATTAGCTTATTTTGTTTTATGATGTTTCTAAGAATGATACTAGACCTATTTTAAACAAATAAATGATATATTCTTAATTAAATGAACAGTTTTAAACTTTTTTTTCCTTGTACTGGGATTAATATTTTCCTAACGTGTTCTTTAGTCTTGGTTTTAAATTTTTTTAATATTATAAAATTGTAAAATTGTTCAGGATGAGCAAAACATGATCTGCGTATTTACACATCTCTAGTATTTGCTTACATTTCATACTTATGGATCATTCCAACTATGTCTCTAATTATTACTGAGATGCTTTGAATATTAAATTTTATAAAATTGTTGAAATTCAGCTTATATAAAATATCTGTCTATTTACCTACATATCTATTTATCATCTGTGGTTAGGTTATACAAATAAAAAGGAGATAATTATATGTGAACATAGAAAATATAGTGACTTCTTTGTAAAGATTAATTACCAGAACTTAAGTTAAAATTTGAAAAGTGTGTGTGTGGGAGAGTGTGTGTACATGCTTGTGATTTTTTTTCTTGGCATTTGTCATAGCCTACATTTTTAAAGAAATTCTGATGAGATAAATTAATTTAGAAATTTATAGCTCCTTGAATTTGTATTTCCTGATATATCTTTATTAGAAAGATATGATGCTATGTTCCTTCAGTCTTCACTTCATTAAAGCAGGAACTCAATTCAATATCTCATATTCATAACTATCTATTTAGTAGTCATGATCAGTTCACATATATAGGTACTATGGCAGCTTAGAAAATAACTTTAGCTGAGTGATCTTTGAGTCTCAAGAAAAGTATATGAAACTATATCCATTTATTTTAACTTCTAAATCAGAAAGACTACATTTTTGTTTGAAATTATGTTATAGATGGAAACTTTAAAAGTGTATGTTTGTTCTGATAAATTCAAATTTATGATTTAAAAATCTAAAATATACAAAATAAAATAAAAATTATAAAAATGTAAAAAATCTTTACATATTTCCTAACAACTTTTATTTTAGAAATTAAATATCATCACTTTTACATTTTTCTAAATATATAATTTAAAAGAAGATGCTCATAGCATTTGACTTACTTTTTTGTAATTGTCCCCATGGCTAAAATTTTGCATTGATGGTTATATACAATAGATCAGGAAAATTAATGTCATGGAAAAATCTATAATTTATGTATTATAGTCATAAGGATTATATGAAGTAATAGAATGAAACTGGGAATCCAAAAGTAAGTTTTATACTTCTAGCTCTATTTGAAAACCTCTTTGTGTTTTAGTTTTATATTCTTAGAATTGAAATAATACTGTAATTTCTGTGCCTTACACTACCTCTGAGAATTAACCAGATAATAAATGTGAAATCTCTACAGGAGTTAATTTCTGAATGTGAGATATTATGCATTTTCTAGATATTTAGTAAAAGACTATCAACATGTAGTTCAGCATTTTTTAAAGCTGTACAAAGTAGAATATTTCCTATTACCATAATGTGAAGACAATAATAATTCTAATTGTCAATAAACACAATAGCCATCCTTTGTCATTTATTAGGTGCCACACAATTTGCTTTTACTTTGCAAATATAATTTCTTTTCACTTTCATATCAACTCCTCTATGTAAACATTTAAGTGATCTCACAAATCATTACCAGAGAAATTCATTACCTTTTCCAGTCAAAGCATTTTCAATTTTAGCAGCTGCAGCTTGAAGTCAACTCACCTCTGTTTTACTTCAACACTCATTTCCCTACATACTCATGTGATAGATAAAAGAATCTATTAAAGATTAATTGACATATAAACTAGGATAGGTCAGGTATAAATTTACAGCCTCTGCAGGAATTATAATATAATCAAAGATATGACAGTGGGGAAGACTAGACAATGTGTGGCAAACAGGGAGTTCACTCTCACTATAATGTCGGAGTAAAGAAGTGACAGTTAAAAATAAAATTATAAAAGTCATGAACAGAAACTTTTCAAAAGAAGACAGACTAATGGCCAACAAACATATGAAAAAATGCTCAACATCTCTAATCATCAGGGAAATGCAAATCAAACCTACAAGGAGATATGACTTAACTCCAGTGAGAATCATTCTTATCAAAAAGTCCCGAACAACAAATGTTGGCATGGATGTGGAGAGATAGGAACACTTATACATTGCGGGTTGGACTGCAACTAGTACAACTCTATGGAAAGTAATATGGAGAAACCTCAAAGAGCTACAAGTAGAGGTACCATTTGATCCAACGATTCCATTACTGGGCATTTACCCAAAGGACAGAAAAAAAGACATTCTATAAAAAATACATCTGCACTAGAATGTTTATAGCAGCACAATTCACAATTGCAAAGATGTGGAAACAACCCAAGTGCCCATCAATGCATGAATGGATTGATAAAATATGATATACGTATACCATGGAGTTCTACTCAGCCACAAAAAATCAATGGTGATCTAGCACCTCTCATATTATCCTGGATAGAGCTGGAGTCCATTCTACTAAGTGAAGTCACAAGAATGTACAAACAGGCACCACATGTACTCACCATCCAATTGGTATTAAGTGATCAACACTTGATGTGCACATTTAGTAGTAACATTCATTGGGTGTTGGGTAGATGGATGGGAGGAGGAGGGGATTGGTATATTCACACCTAATGGGTGTAGTGCACACTGTCTGGGGGATGTACACGCTTGAAGCTCTGACGTGGGTGGGGGCAAGACAATATATGTAACCTGAACATTTGTAGCCCTGTAATATGGTGAAAAAGAAAAAATAAAATAAAATAAAAGATAAATAAATGAATGAATACATAAATAAATAAATAAAATTAGACTATTGAATCACTGGGTTTTGGGAACAAGAATGTAATTTGATTAATTCATTTATTAATAGATTATAAATAAAGTAGGACTAATATTTCTTAAAAATATATATAGAAATGGGATCCCAATTTCTGTATTGGTAAGAGCACTTTCATTTCTTATTTTTCTTCTGCCCTGTGGGTACATGTTTGGGCTATTGTTTGGCTTAGATTACCCTCAAGGAAACATTACCGAAGCTCTGCATTACTGAAACAGTTCTCTCAATGTTTTAGGTTGTAGTTTTGTTCAAAAAATGGGTTTCATATTTCTGTCTGTTTGGGAATCATTTGTCACTATAAATTGCATTATTCTTGTAAATATCTTTTTCCTTAGATTGTGTTTTGCTCTGTTATCTTTGTTGTCCTTCCTTGTTCAATATTCTTTCTCTATCTGCCTCGGTACCTTCCTTTCATCTTCAGTTTCCCTGATGCAAGATGTTTTATTTTTGCCCTTTTCTTTTTCCTTGGAGTTTTTACTTAGGTGTTAAGACTTCTTTAAAGTAAACATTTGAACTCTATATCTCTAAATGAAATTTTTATATCTAAAAGTCTAAGTAAATGATAAACATCTCTATGTGGGTGTCCTATTGATCATTTATGCCCAATAAGTAAAACATCTAATTTATTATTTTCTAGCTTCTTGATTCTCTTCCTGACACTTCCATTTCTCTTGAAAGCACTGCTATTCTTTTAATCATACTTGCTCAAAATACCTGAGTTCTATTTTTTCTTCCCTATCAATTTCTGTAAAATGTTAACTATTTTAATTTTGATCTTTTCCACATGTTCTGTATCCATGTTTTCTCTTTTCCATGTATCACTGCAGTCCAAAGATTTGTTCCATTTTGTATGACAGCCTCCTATCTCTAGACTATTCTTGTTTTATTATTCTGTGTAGAGCTCAATAACTTGATACTTGGTATATATTGCTTCATCAGTTTACTCTTGAGATCAAAATCCATTAATGGTCCCCTAGTGTCCATTGAATAAAAAATGTCTGAGTTAAAATTATTCCAGAATGTTTCAAGAGCTCTTTTTTATGTTTCCCTGCGTTTTCCATCCCTCTCTCATCTTGTGAACTTATTTTTAATACTGCCATACCTCGGGATTTTTATATATAAATGCCACAGGATCTTAATCAATCCAAAGTCCCTATTGCCACTTGAAAGTATTCTGTGTTTTCTTTCTGAGTAGTTTTTCTTGTATCTCACTCTGTATGACATGCCTATTCTCTCTGTCTCATCAGGACTACCTGTCAAAATCCTGCTTACTTTTCAATGATTCCTGCTTCAGGTACATTTCCTGACCTCAGTCTTTAATTCCAAAGAAATATGTTTTTGTATTTCTAACTTATCATGATTTATGTTAGAGGTTATCTGTAACTAAGCATGATATTTCTGTACAATTATGGTATTTTCATTTTCTTTTCCCATTCATTTATTTTTGGTCTGCTTACCTTCTCTACATGAGGCAAAGTGTAAGAATTCAGACATTCTACTTTGTTCATATGTGTACATTGGTAATACATAACATTGGTTTATATATTATGGATAATAAAATAAATATTAAATTACATTGAAATATAACCCTATTATCACTAACAGATTAATAGTAGGCATATATTCCAAATAAGTATACGTTATGAAGCTAGAACATTGAATTAGTATGACTCATGGGATGTAAAATATGTGACTTTATTTTTATCACTTTCTCTTTTTTAAAGTGTGTCTCATGATGATAGCCCTGTCTTGAATGAAAAATCAGCATGCTCCATGAATTCTTCTCCTGACTTATTAAATGGATGATTCTATTTCCATTGATAACAAAATTCTATTCAGAATGTCAAAGTGTTCTGATCAAGATATTAATGGGTATTTCAATCTCAATTTAGAGAAGAAATACCCACTATCTCTACTCCAGGCACATCTTTGGTCTTTGATAAAGAGGGATTTGCCTGGCTTCTAATAACATTCTCCCTCACCTTACCCAAATCATCAGTTTCCTGGTTGGGTTCCTTAAGAGTCTGGATCCTAATTTGGCTGTGCATTTCCTGAGATTGGAGTGGAAAGAAAAGGAATTCATAGTGTTGCAGCAATGCTCAGCAAAGAAATCTCTTCCCAAATCCTCTCCAATATCTACATTTTAAGGTATTGTATATCCTCTTTGAAGGCAAGGGGTTTTTTAAGTGATGAATTGTGTTAAAAAGTATTCACTTTGAATATATACATATATATCATAATTCAACTAATCTTCATATGATGGTATCACTTCATGTACATCTTCCAAATGAACACCTGGAAGCCATACTGCCTATCTCACTATATGGACTCCATGGGAATTCATTTTTCCCGTAAGTCTATAATGCAGTAGTCATTGTGTTAACATGAGGCCCAAAGCCTAAATGCCTAACTAATCCTAAAGTACATAAGCATATATATACACACAGATATATATATATATATGTATATATACATATATATATATATATGTATATATACAGAAGTAATAGAAAATCTGGTAACAGAGATTATTTTATTATGAATACTATATATTCTATTCTGTGATATATATCCATATCCATATCATGTTTACATACATATGAATATATGTCCTTTTTCTATAATCATCAGATCCACCATTGCATCCCCTTTGATCAGTGACATTGAAGAATGTACTATAGCCAGTGCAGTATAATTCAAAGTTATTATGGTTGTTAGACTTTAACCTTCTCCAATAATTCATTATTTTCTCCCACAGAGTTCAAACATTTTCCTTGACATTATTCGAGAACCTAAGAGTAAAGGAAGGAGAAATAATAGAACAGAACAGATAGCTTGCCAGTATATGGATAGATACAGATATAGATCCAGTGTTAGACATAAACTAAAATTTTTTCTAGTTTGAATATAAAACTAGAATATATGTAGTTTTCTCTGGAAGTCTAAAATTCAGTTTATGAAGACTAAGCATTATATTACTGCAGTGGGGAGAACAATCACTACAGAGATTGTGCAAACCATTTTGTTTTAAATTCTCTTTGTAATATGTTTATTTTCTAGGACAGAGTCTAAGAGGAAATGCAGTGTACATATAAAAAGAGAATACATGTCATAGCAGAGAAAGTGGGGTTTATAATTTATCTCCATGACTTATATTCTTTGTAACTTGATCTTGACCAAGATACTTCCATTCTTTAAGATATAGTATTCTGATTTGTAATATGGGGATAATAATTTATTACTCACTTTATAGGTTTATTTTAAAAGTTAAAAGAAACAACCTATGTAAAATACTTAATATTGCTTTTCATTTATTCTTATTAATTATAATTTCATATGCAAAGTCTAAAAATAGCAAATAATGCTATTATGAAAATAAAAGTTGATGAAAGCTAACAGCATCACATACCTATTCTATGACAAATGACTTATTCATTGTCTTACATCAATTATCTGAGTGAGTTTTTCTGCTGCATGTAAGGAAATCAAAAACCAAAGAGGTCAGTCTTCATGTCATGAATTAGGTAATAGGACATGCACTTGAATTAAAAATTATTTTTGTGCTCATTCATTGCATTATTCCTCATATGAATGTCAACTTAGCTGCTTTGACTCAAGAATAGTATTGCTGTGATCCATTCTAGCATATTGAGATAAATGCAAATTCTTTTAACACAAGCTTTTTCTAAATTGTTGATGTGTGTGTGTGCCTGTGTGTGTATGTGTAGAAAAAAGAGTGAAAAAAAATACAAATCAGAGCAGAATAGAGTTAATATTAAATCATATAATGTTTTGGACGAAGGAGTTGTAAGCGAAAATACTAACCATTTATGCCTATTATCAAATTTAAGAGCCCAATAACAGGTAAACAGTTTAGCAGTACACAGAAGGACGAGAATAGTCTTAGTGGGCATGGAGAAGGACAGAATAATATTGAAAAATCATTTATAACCAAGTAATAGAAATTGCATAGCATATTGCATATGGGGTAAAAATTTCATTATTAAAATCTGTCTAAAATGAATACTCTTAAAATAATAATCCTATACACAGTGCTAAGGAATACAAAGTTAAAGGAAGATATTATTATTTTGGTTTTAGGAATGTTGCCCTTGAAGTGAGGACATGGTAAACATACAACAAATGTATAAATAAATTTATGGACCATAAAAGAGTTGATAGTCTAAACTACAACTGAAAATGGTACTTTGCATATTTATTTTGGAACAGAATTGATATCAAAATATGAAATTTAAATCTAACATAACATAAAAACTAAATGATGTAAATCTCACACCTTAAATTATTACTGTATGAACCAATGAAATTATCTAAACTTCCAGGAATATAATTTTTTGCTCTATAATAAAGTGATTTCTTTACCATTTCTATATATCATGAAACTTTCCAAACTCTGATACTGGAAATTTTCCTGTAGAAATAAAAGAAATGAAGTTCACATTTTTCCATGGCTGCTGTATTAATCAGCTTTCGAGTTATTAATATTTGTAACAAGAAACTTTTAAGTCTCAGTGGCTTACAAAAACAACTTTTATTTTTGCCTACAAGTCTGAGAAGTAGTTGTGGTGGCTTCACTCTAATCTGACGGCCGGATTGATGTAAGCTTCACATGTATTATTCCTGGAACACAGTTAAATAAGCAGTGAGTATAGAATATTATTATTCTCTTAGAGGAGAGGAATTCAAAAGGTTAAGTCAAATATGAAAGCACATTTAAAGCCCCTGCTCAGATGTAGGATGCATCAAATATGTCCATATTCTATTAGCCAAAGCAAGTCACCTAATCAAACTCAATATTAGTGCAGCAGGAGTGGGCAGAGTAAATATTTGCTGAACAATAATGCAATCAATCATAGCCAGATAGAACTGAAGGATTGCCTTGAAAGAAAAGGCACCTGAAACATATGGGATATTTAGCTAATGTTTGCCAAATTAGCTAAATACAGGTAAAAGTAGTTTCACTGCTAGTGAAATCCAAAGAATTATGCCTATTCTTCTTTGTCCTATGGTCTTACTATCTTATTATTTTTGAAAACTGTAATTCCAACTGCAGACTTATTGCTGTCCATCACTTCAATTTTTGTTATAATTAACTATTATTCTATACCAGGCAATTTTTATGGCACATCTCATTTCTCTAACTTCCCTGGAATGTATTATCAATATTGGAATAAACACTGCTGAACTTTTAAATATTTTTCACCATCTAATAGACAATATTATCATGGACAAGTTCTGCTTCTTGTATATAGTTCAATAATTGACCACCTAATCTTTATCTGGGCCTGAGTAAATAAATATAGATAAAATTATTATGTATAATCTTATCAAAACACACTGATGCTCTCCCAGGAAAATGTACTTACTTCTCTGTAAAACTCAAATTGTAGTAACCCTGTCATGAATCAGCCTTCCTGATTATTTAGAATTTATTTGGTCACTTAATTATTTTTTTGCTATTAGATAAAATTGGAAAATATTATGTGTATTCACATACACAATTATAAAATTTTGAGTAGCAGCTCTAAGTATTTGGGGAAAAAATATGTCCCTATGACCTGTGATTAGCAAAATGAATCAATGAATTCTTAGGAAACATAAACATGTTTTCTTTTCCAAATTATGTACCTGGCCTTATTTTATAGCATTTAATAAGGAATATAATAGCTAAAAGGTACCTAAAAGCTTATTTAGCTCAGAGGTCAGCAAACTTTTTCTGTAAACGGCCACATAGTAAATATCAAAAGTTTTGTAGACCATATGATCTCTGTTTCAAATACTCAACTCTGCATTTATAGTGTGAACACAGCTATAAACACTATGTGAATTAACAGATATTGCAATAAAACTTATGCATCACAAAAATAGAAGGCAGGCTCTATTTGGCCCATGGGCCGTAGTTTGTTGAGCCTTGGTCTGGTCTAATATATTTATTTATCAGATAAAGACACTGAGAATCAAAAGGATTTGAAATTATTATGCCACAATTATTTATGCCAGGGGTCCCCAAACTTTTTGGCACTGTAAACAATTGGAATACACTTTTTTCATGCAATGGAGGGGTGTGAGGAGGGGTGGTTTCCAGATGATTCAAGTGCATTACATTTATTGTGCATTTTGTTTCTATTGTAATTACATTGAAATAATTATAAAACTCACCTTAATACAGAAACAGTGGAAGCCCTGAGTCTGTTTTCCTGCAACTAGATGGTCCCATTTGGGGGTGATGGGAGTTAGTGACACCCAAAGTGTGTTGCTTATGTCCAGTCTACCCTATAATCTTGTTTTGGTTGCTTTCACTGCAGAAAACACTCCTTCACAAAATCGGATGTTGGAAATGGAAGCAGGCTTTTCAGTGCTTTTGTGGCAATTTCAGGATATTATGCTTTGAATTTAATCCAGATCATATAAAGATTTGAAGTTGTCTCACACATATTTTTAAAGCCACTGTCATTTTTTATCTCAAGCAGTTGATCCTCTTCAAGGACAGACAAATTAGATTCACCTGGCTTATTTACAAATGGGTTGTGGAGCCATTCCTTCCCAGTTTGGGTTCTTTTGTGCTTGGGAAGTAATGCTCAAACTCTTTTGAAAGTAGAAATAGGTGATCATGCACCAGCTGGGAGAAAGAAAGCCCTGGCTCAGTCTCTTTCAAAATCTCTGCTAATGTTTGAAACATGTCAAAAATTCCAATGTTCACTAGTTGCCCCAATGCAGCCACTTTATCTGCCAACTCGAACACAGTTGTTCCCCCTTGAAGCAACAGATTGAGTTCATTGAGCAGGTTGAATATGTCACACAAGTAAGCAAGTTTTGCGACCCATTCTGTGTCACTGAAATGTGCTGCCAATGGCGACTGTTTTTCTAAATCTCTGGAGTGGCTCTTGTAACTCAAAAACTCTGGCCAGTGATCGACCTTTAGAAAGCCATCTTACTTCTGTGTATAAGAGAAGATGTGCGTGCTCTGAGTCCATCTATTTACAGAGCTGCCCAAACAGATGTGAGTTAAGGGCATGTACTTTAATGTGGTTGATGATTTTAGTTACATCCTAAAAAATGTTGTTTAGTTCAGGCAACATTTTTTGGCTAGCCAGCATTTCCCTATGGATGACACAGAAGCGGTCTCTTTGACCTGAGTAGCGAAACCAGAAAGTCATCCAGTCATGGCTTAAGTGCACATATAATAGCAACATCATTGGGTGTTGGGCAGGTGGGAGATGGGAGGAGAGTATGAGTATATTAACACCTAATGGGTGCAGTGCTCACTGTCTGGAGGATGGACATGCTCGAAGCTCTAACTAGAGGGGGCCAAGGAAATATATGTAACCTAAACATTTGTATCCCTGTAATATGTTGAAATAAAAAAAATCAAGAAAAATCAAACATATCCCAATGCACATCCTCCTGAAAAATATATCACACACAAACAAGCATTGTTGCCTTTTTGTCAAAATTTGTAGACTTGCCAACCTTGATTGCATAACACAGTGACTCATTAGTCCTCCTAACAACTGTGCCTCAATATCCTCTGCTATTTCATCAATTCATCTAGTTATGGTCCTAGCTGAAAGAGGAACACATGCCACCTTTTGAACTACAGCCTTTTCTAAAAGTTCATGGTAAATGTCCTTAGCAGCCAATAGGATCAGCTCCTCAACAATAGCGAATGGCTTCTTAGTTTTAGCAATGCAGTTAGCCACTAAGAATGATGTTCTCAGTGCAGACACATTTGATGATGTGGTAGCCTTTAATAATTGCTTCTGTTCTTCATGTTCATGTTTTGTTCTTTTTAAAAAACTCCAAAGGTTTGCCTTTTAATGCAAGGTGCTTGGTCTCCATGTGATGAAGCAGTTTTGAAGCTTTCATGGCTTTGCTGAACATCAGGTCACCACATATTATACAAAGCCAGCTTGGAGAATGTGAATCACCTGTTGCAATGAACCTGTAATTTAAGTAAGACTCTTGGTATTTTCTTTCAAATGCAGCCTTAATCTTGTTGGCAGTCTTAGAGTCTTCTGCTGTCTCATCATTGGGTCTTTCACCCTGTTCAAAGAAGCTTTCCAATGTTGTTTGTTTTTTTACTCATTTTTCTAGGGTTAGCTTATGGGCTTACCAAAACTGTGACTGAGAGACAAGTGCACAGTGCAAGAAAGAAGCATGGTAAATAAAATAATGGAAGTGGTAAATAAAATAATGGGAGAGCTATGTGCGGACTAAAGTAAATGTCTTATTCTGATTTAAAGCCTGCCACCAGATGTAGCTGTACAATTGAAGTACATCAACTCACTTGCCACTGTGAAGCCTGCCACCAGATGCAGCTTAATTGTCCTTTGCCACTAATAGGGTTTTGATATGAGTCTGCAAGCAATTGATTTATTATGGTCTCTGTGCAATCAAACCTCTCTGCTAATGATAAGCTGTATTTGCAGCCACTCCCCAGCATTGGCATCACTGACTCAGCTCTATCTCAGATCATCAGGCATTAGATTCTCATAAGGAGCACACACTCTAGATCCCTTGCATGTGCACTTTACAGCAGGGTGCATCCTCCTATAAAAATCTAATGCTACCACTGGTCTGACAAGAGGCAGAGCTCAGATGGTGATGCAAGTGATGGGGAGCAGCTGCAAATACAAATGAAACTTTGTTAGCTTGCTGGCCACTCACCTCCTGCTGTGCAATCCAGTTCCGAATAGGCCTAGGTCTGTGGCCCTGGGGTTGGGGACCACAGATTTATGCTACTTCCACAATTTGCTGAAGATTACAAATCCAGCTTGTATCAATTATGGGTTTAGAATCCAACATTCCTTAGTCCTGATTAAGAATCTACTCCCATATTCTATCATGTGTTTTGGAAATTCATGGCTTGATTTGTTAAGTGTAAATAATATTTGCAATCATGATACAAGATATTTATAACATCCATGGGTTCAAATAAAATACATTTTTTTAAAAAAATGTAAGTATATACTCATGGAGGCACCTGCCAAGGTTCCATGGGACACAGTCAGGCACCAACCAATGTCCTGTGACCCACCCAGGCACCTTCCAAGGTCCTGAGACTGGCCCCAGTACTGCTGCAGTCCCGTGAGATACCTGAGTGCCTACCAAAGTTTTCAAACCTGTCCAGGCACCAGCGAAAGTCCCACAACATGCTCATCTGCCCTCCTAGATCCCATGACCCACTCAGGCTCTGGTCAAGGTCCCACGACCCACTCATCTGCTGCAGCCCTGCACCCCCTGGGCCCCAGTGGCTCTGCATGCTGCAAGCCTGGTGGCATAGTACACCATGCATATTGGTGACCTCCACCATGCCCCTCACTGCACCGCTGCCATGGCATTGCCTCCTGAAAATTATGGAAGACTCTCTTTCTAGAAGCTGCTCCACCACCACAGTGCATGACCACTGTCCCTGGAACTGAGCCAGAGTGAACACCTACAGCCTTGAAATCTGGGGCCATTGCCTAAATAGCCATACCCAGCCACCACAGCCACCACTGCAGAGAGGCTCAAGCACAGCAAACTCCCAGGGCATCCATCTCTGTAGAGTGGGAATCACCCAATCCCCTGTATGAACTTCCTACAGAGGCCAGTGGATGAACCCACCACTCCATATGAATATCGCTCTGCATCGGCTCATACTGTGACAACCACAGCAGAACAGGATGAGACAGGAGAATAGCTGTGTTACAGGCTCTCAGTACATTCATCCCATTCCTGCTGGGTCAGTCCTCTGGATTAGGACATAAAAAGTGCTATCTAGGGATCTCTCCTTCTCCTCAAGAAAGAAGAAAACCTAAAAGATTCCACCAGAAGACTCCTAGAATTCATAAATAAATTCAGCAAAGTCTCAAGTTATGAAATCAATGCACAGAAATCAGTAGCATTTCTATATTAATAACAGACAAGCTGAAAGTCAAATCAAGGACTCAATACCATTCTTAATAGCCACAAAGAAAAAAATATATTTAACCAAAGAGGTGAAAGATCTCTTCAAGGAGAACCACAAAACACTGATGAAAGAAATCACAGATGATACAAATGGATAAACATCTCTTACTCATGGATTGGCAGAATCAACAATGTTAAAATGTCCTACTGCTGAATGTGATTTACATATTCAATGTAATCCCTTTCAAAAAACCAATATCATGTTTCAAATATCTAGAAAAAAATAATCCTAAGATTCATTTGGAACCAAAAAAGAGTCCAAATAGCCAAAGCAATCCCAAGCAATAAACAAATCTGGAGGTAAGAAAATGAACAGTACTCATATCTGGAGGAAAAGAGAACCTGAGACAGCAGCTTGCTTGGTTGTTTGATGAAGCACAGTGAAGTCAGTATGACTAGACTGTGACTACAGGGAGAAAATAAAAGAAAAGGCAATGAGGAGTGGAAAACATCACAGAAGACTCCATCGGCTATTACCAGGCTTTGGCTTTTACTTTGAGTGAGATGCAAAGTCTTTGAAAATGTTTGAATGGTGATGTAGAACAATATGATGTATTTTAACAGAACCATTTTGACAAGTGTGCAGAAAATAGACTATGAACACAGAATGCGAAAACAAAACAAAAAAATAGATCATTTAAAAGGCCATTGAAATAATCCCTGCAAGAGATACCAGTGTTATGTACCAGAATAGGAAGCAGTGAAAGTATTCAGAAGTGGCCTGGTGTTCAGTTAAGAGAGTATGGCGTGAGAGCTTGGAATATTTATTTAGAGTCACCAACCCTGGGACAGAATGCAAGCATCAAATGGGTGAGTATGGAAGGAAAACACAAGAGGCCAAACCCTTCCACTGGAAAATTCCAAAATTGAAAGGTCAGAGAGATGACTGTGAGTCCTTAAAAGAAATGGAAGTTAAACAAGAGGAAACAACAGGTAAGCATGGTGTCTGGAGCAATCAAAAGATTTCAAGGACTGAGTGATCAACTGAATTACTGGTTTTGCTGGTTGATCAAATAAGATAAAAACTAAGAACTTTCTTCTAGATGTAGAATGTGAGAGTCACTGGAGACCTGAGGAGGGCAGTTTTCTTTGGGACAAAGGTGAAAATGTAATTGACATGGATTCAAGGGAATGGGAGGAGACTAATTGGAGACAGTGGGAATGGGCAATCCTTTCATTAAGCAAAGCTCTAAAGTGAAAGAGAAAGATGGGAGTGGTAATAGAAAAGTAAAGAGGTATTTAGTGGGTTGCTTTGTTTTTTCTTTTGTTTTGTTTAGAGGGGAAAACTAGCATGCTATGCTATGTGAAAGGAAAAGTTGGAGAAGAGAGACAATATCAATGAGGAGAGCCAGGGAGTATTTCTGAGTAGCAAGAAGAGGTGAGTTCAAGGTCACATTTAGATGTATATAAGTCATATCATTAAAACTACTCTGTGTACAATTAACTTTGGTTACCATGTTAGTTCATATTTTAAAACAGTGGCCTCCAACCTTTTTGGCACCAGGGACTGATTTTATGGAAGACAATGTTTCCACTGATGGAGGGGGGGGGCAGTGGTTTGGGGATGATTCAAGCACATTACATTTATTGTGCAGTCAAAACTCTCTGTATTTGCAGCTGCTCCCCAGCACCAGCATCACTGCTTCAGCTGCACCTCAGATCATCATGCATTAGATTCTCATAAGCAGCACACAACCTAGATTCTGCACGTCCACAGTTTATAGTAGGGTTCGGGCTCCTATGAGAATCTAATGCCAGGAGGCAGAGCTCAGGCAGTGATGAGCTTGATGGAGAGCAGCCAGGTGGTTGGGGATTGCAGTTTTAAGGGACTTTTTATTTCTTATCTAATTACAACTAATTCATTTACAGAATCAGAGAAAATGTAGAATGTATACACACTGATGTAGGAATTCCAGTTAATAAGATTAATATGATAAAACAAAAGCTTGATACAATTTTGTCTGGTTGTTTCACTTTTTTCAATGAAATAGGGAAAGTGGGAGAGCTTTGAGGACAGAGGATAAAGTCGGTTTAAAAGTGTGGAAGAGTTAATGGACTAGGACAAAATAGCATCATGTGCACCAGCATAAGGGGCCTCTTGAGATGGGTGATAAGAGAGATAAGTCAGTATGATGGGAAATTCATGTGAAGCCATGTTGATCTGTGTAGGTCAGGTTCTTAGAGAGTTTGACATAGTCAGGCCTGAGATTTTAACAAAAAAGTACATTAAAATAAAAAGGGGGGGGGCAAACACTTGAGAGAAAAGGGAGATTACAATTGTGAGCCAGGGAACTTAAACTCTGAACTAGAGAAGTGATGGAGATGAGGCACATAAAAATGTCAGAGGCCCAATGGATTGTGGTTCCCTCTGGTGTCAAAGAATTAATAAAGATAAACTAAACAGTGAGAATTAGCAAGAATAGTCAGTCTTTGCCAGAGCTTATATTTATTTTGAGGTTGCCATTTTTCAATTTGACCTGAGAGAAGAAGATAAATAGAATTTTAAAATATAATAAAAAGAATTTTTAGATAACGAAAAATGTTGGAAAACAGCAAGAGATAGATTAGATAGAGATAAATAAACTAGGACTAAATAAAATAAATCTACAAATCTCATTATAATTTCATTGAACCTTCAAGTTGTGGAGAACAAAAATAACCATATAATTTCTTTCAGTCCAGCTTTTCTGCCCTGGGTCTGTGAAAGGCCAGACGCTTGCCAAACGATGAGGCAGGCAGTAGCCAATTTTATTCCAAAGCCTTAGAAATAGAACTGGATTCTGACAAAGGAATTATATTCTCATTTTCACTGAGCCACTAAGATGTCCTCTCAAATAAATATTCTGTGATAGCAATAGACACAGTAATCTATGAAAGAAGAGACTGGGTAGTGGAGAGTATCAGAATGCAGACAATGAAGAGATTCAACTATAATATATTTAAGCTCCACATTATTGATGGCTTTTGGCAAAGAAAGTTAAGTTAAACTGTGTAGCCATTTAAAACTCTCAGTTTCAGATGTAAGGCAAAAATGAACAGCATTGGTTTACAAGGAGATTAAACCTTTTTTTCCTCACTTGAAAAATAGAGGAACTAGATGTTTGATTTTGACAAAATATGAAAAGGGACTTTTTTTTAGATAAATTTAGTAGTTGAGTCAGTTAAGCTTCCTTATCCCTATTTAGAATTCTCATTAAAATGACTTGACAGATCAAGGAACAAATTTGTGATATTAAAATAAATGTGATAATACAACATATATTTTAAAATACCTTACAAGTCAATATTTGGGTTTCTATTCTTGCAGAAAAATCTAAATCATAAAACAAGACATAATTTGCATTTTGTCAATGCTGTTAAGACTTTAACTCTTACATGCAACACAAGCACTATTTGTTCCCAAGGTATATAGATTAATGTAAATTGGCTTCATTATTACTACAGTCAGGAGGAAAATTACTATAATAAAAATATTTGTTATGATGGTAGATATTTTTCTCTTGAAATAATGTATAATGAGACGATGTCAACCCTCAGCCTTAGGGAAAAATGAAATCCCACCTTATAATATCAAAATGCTTTCCAAGCTCTGTCCTTGACATAAGCATCCTTGTGTTTCAGAGATGAGTCTTTAATCTATTTTGACAAATTGAATTTTGGCTTCTAACACTTCCCTTACACTCTTAGAGGTGGAATTAATTTTGGAAGCTCTAGAATTAGTGAGCTTGGGTTTAAATTGGGTTTTACCTCACACTACCCTCATCACCTCTTCCAAGTACATAGGCGATGGAAATCCCTGCTTTCCTTGATGGTGAGCAGGGCCGTTTGAGAATGAACTAGGAAGAGAATGCATGTCACTTTTGGGGTAAACCACTTCATTGCTGATGAACTCTTTGATGAACTATTGATCTAAAACTGTAGTTTTAGATCAATAAAAACATGGAGATGCACATGATATATTTTTTAACCTTTGAGTACAAAATGTTTTAGCTATTGAGAAAAATTTTAAGTTGTGATAAGCCTAATTGTCATAATCCTCCAAATTATATTAGACTGACTTGAAAATTATATAACACTGAATCAAGTTTAAAACATAATACTGGATTCCTTTATTTAAATTTTACTAAATATTTATAATGGTTTTGTGTCTGCACATCAAACCAGACACTTAGGGAAGTGAAATAGCATGGAGCTAGAGAAATACAATTAATACACAAATATGCTACCACATTAGATTCTTTTTTCTGCTATGCAAAGCATCTAAAATTTCTTACACACTCAATGTTGTTATTTATATTGCCCTTAATGTAAATACTCAAGGATGCTTAAGAATTCCTGATCTTTTGTATGTTGTTTTTTGCACTATAGCATTTTCATATTTTAACATAATATATTAATTTAATTTACTTTTTATTACATGTATTGCTTTACTTACAAACTCCCCTGCATGCTCTAGAATATACCTCTGCAACATCAGGGAATTTTGTCTGTTTTTAAGTTTTCCTCCAGCAGTGTAGCTCCACCTAGACCAATGCTGTGAAGTAGGCACTCTATGAATAATATGCAATGATTGCTCATAGAGTTGTGTGTCTCACAGGTAAACAACATGTGGGGTATACAAAGAGAACAATTCTGATTTGGGGCTGTAATAGATTAAAACAAGGTCTATTGATTGTTCTGGGAAGAAAACATATGGGATTCAGTTGCTACTCAAGAGAGGATTCTGCCTAGAGGATTCACATAGTCATAAACACAGAGTCTCAGAAGGACTTCTTAGGAATAAGCAAGAATGTGTTTAGGGAGTAATGACACAGCACCCAGAATAGTAGCAGGAGTTCAGGGTCTAGTGAAGCTTAAGTTGCATGTTTTCTAGAGGACAATAATTTCTACATCTCTGTTTTCTTATATGTACAATGAAGAAATCCGGGGTTGAAAACTACAGTTATTTTTTTTATGACCTTCTAGCTAAGAATTGTTTTGTTTTTGGTTTTGTTTTTGTTTGTTTGATTGATTTCGCTTTACATTTTTAAAGAACTGTTTACAGAAAGCAGGAAGAATAGGTAACAGAGAACACATGACCTACAAAACCTATTCTACTTTCTCCCATCTGATACTTTACAGAAAAGTTCGCTGATCCTTGTCTAAATTACCTAAATGTCCTCTTCTAGCCTTGATATCTTTCCATTTTGACAGTTAGTCATGAATTTAAAAGTGGTGATGACTATTCATGTTAAATTTTACTTAGTTACATAAATGTCTAAAGTGTCAAAAATATATGCACAGCAGCAGGATAGTTTTTTTTTTTAATGGAGAGAGATAATTTAATGGTATAAATGCTTGACTAAATCATATAGAATAGTCACATGCAATGAAAAATGAATGATAGAATAAAAATATCTATACAACAAGGACACCACTGGATATCTAGACAATGTTCTCCACCATGCAGCATTGATGTTTGTAAATATTATTTCCTAGATAGATCAATAAATTTCTTCAAAGCCTCAAATTGTACTCAGGGCATATCAATGAAACATACTCACACTTCTGTCTAGTACTGAAGAACACTAATATGCTATAATATCTTAGGCAAATTAAGATTCAGCTTTCTCCCCATGGAGCTTCCTTCCTGGAACCACACCATGGCCTCAAGTTGCTACAGGACCACAACTTCACAATCTAGATATGCAAAATCAAATGAATCTTCTACCAATTTTCAATACTTGCTGACAAGTCATCTCCATAACCACTAGCAAACAATATCCAGGCGCCTTGCTCTCAAAAATATCAAAATACAAATATCACTTGAGCTTTAATGGTAGAATACTAATTTTGATATTAGAGTATACTCTAATAAAGTTTAATCAATTATTCAAATGCATTGTATCCACCAGTTTATTTCTAAGCCTACTTTATATAAACATCAAAAAAATTGGTAGATCAAATACTATAGAAAGATATTTTATCATCTCTCTAATGTTCATGCCTTATGTCCTCTGGACTCCCAACATGAAACCTGGGTGTGTAGAAATGTTCTGTGTCTCATAGCCATGAGAAAGAAGTCTCTGCTGTGTATGTGAGTTCCTCTGCTATCCTCTGTATCCTCATTGGCTTTTTTTTCTTTTCTACCATAGCAAACATCTGAATCTCAAGTTTGAATCATTTACCTCCTCCACAAAGGGCATGGGAAAATGCTTGACTTTTATTGCCAAATAAAACAGTGGAGGAATTTTGGGAGAAAATTGTTGCCTTAAGTTCTCTCATTCTGCCTAAATAGGACCTATCACCTGACTTAGTCTGTTCAGGCTGCTGTAACAAAATACCTTAGACTGGATAATATACAAATGATAGAAACGTATTGTTCACAGTTCTGGAGGCTGGGAAATACAAGACCACAGCACCAGCAGATCTGATGTCTGGAAAGGGCCAATTTCTCATAGACAGCTCCATTTTATTGCATCCTGACATGGTGGAAGAGGCAACAAAGCTCCCTCAGGTATTGTTTTATACAGCTCTAATGCCATTCATGAGGGCTGAGGACTCGTGCCTAATCACCCCTCAAAGACGCCACCTCAATACAAATAGAGTGGGCATTAAATCTCAACATATGAATTTTGAGGAGATAAGAACATTCAGACCACGGCACCATCATTCGTACTTTTTGTAGCAACCCCACTTTGAGTACAAATTTTACAATTTCTATACATCTACACTGTAGTGGTTAAATATTAATTCCAGTAAATGAGACAGTTCATCAAGTATTTCTAATAATATCTCTATTATAAACATCAGCATTACTTTCAGATTACTGTTCTCTTTGCCTAAATCAGGAGATCCAAAGAACTCAGAAGCTGATGATTCTGTGAAAGAAATGATGCACAGAATCTAGTGGTCATTCACATGTATAAAAAGCAAAAGAAAACAGCAAAATGTCACCATTGAAAACCCCTTATAAGGTTCTGCATTTCTGGAAGAACTGAGCCTCTCCTTTGAAAATGAAGGCCAATTCCAGAAGTTAGACCCCAAGCCATTATGGCAATGGCTTACCCCTGAAAGAGAATGCCTATTTGGAAGAAGTGTTTGGCCTTAAAGAGAACCTTCACTAGTAATGGCAGTGCTAAGATTAGCTTGAAACACTCAAGGAAGCCAGAGATTGAATACACTCATATGGATTTGGCTCTGTTGACTCACATTTTTGCCTTGAGGCAGAGGGTGGAGGTCAGAGGCCAGAATATAACTGGGTTAGAGAAGGGCTTAATTTCATGTGTCAACTTGGCTAGGCTATGGCATCCAGATGTTTGGTCAAACACTAGTGTAACTGTAACTGTGATGGTATTTTTTAGATGTGATTAACATTTAAATCAGTAGACTTTGAGTAAAGCAGATTACCCTGCATAATGTGAGTGGACCTCATCCAAACAGTTGAAGGATTTAAGAGAAAATGACTGAAGTCCCTTGGAGGAAGAAGAAATCCTGCCTCCTGACTGCCTTTGGACTCAAGATTGCAACATCAACTCTTTGCCGCTTTGTTGCTTAAGCTTATCTTTATTCAATGTCCAGTTTGCCTGTGTTTACAGCTGAATTAAGTATTGGGAAGCAAAAGGAAATTCCTAAAGAAATATTTAAAACTCTCATTGCAATGAAGCGAGACTTTCACCCAGTGTCCAGATATATGTGGACTTTTGATTTGTCTTTTTGACCCATTCAGGTCTGAAGGGCTGGAGTGTTGATCAGCCAGATTGACCCAACCTCACTGGGATCCTACTGGCATTGACTTTATGAGTTTCAACCACAAACTGTATTTTTTTCAAAGTCCGTGGGAGGATAATTGGACTAATGGAAAAGAGAATTTGTAATTTCCTTCAATCAATTTTTAATGTCTTGTGGAAATAAAGTTCTTTTGTAAGAGATCTACAATTTCCTCTTTAGTGTGTGGACACTCCCAGGAAATAAAGATGACCCAGGTAAAAATCTTCTAGGCACATGTGATCTTCTTCTCCTTCTCTTTCACCATCTCCTCCTCCACCTCCTCAGAAATATACAAGACAATATTGTATGATGAGCCTATCATATAGAAAATTAAAGTCTCAGAAAGAGAACAGAATCAGGAGATTAATAACAACATAGAATAGCTGAAATATCTGTCAAATTAAGTGAATTGTATAAGTTTAGAAGTTTAAGAACTTAACAAAACACAAAGTAAATACAAAGAAAAAATCCTTGGCACATCATAGTTAAATAGCTGAAAAATAGAGATAAAGATAAATAATTAAGATAACCCAAGAAAAATATAGAGATGAACATTAATTTAAATAACCATAGATTTCTCATCAGAATTTACAAAGTAATGAAGATAATGGAACAATAATTTTAAATGGATAAAAAAAATCAACTGAAAAGTCTATGTAAATCAAAGATAACATTCAAACATGAAGAGCAGATAAAGATTTCTTTTTTAATTGATGAAAAACTAACACAGGGTTAAAACTGTCATAGAATATACATATAGATAATTAGGACAAAATTTAGAGTCCAGAAAGAAATCCTTATATTTATGGTAAATTGATTTACAACAAAAGTGCCAAGACAATTTTAAGCAAATTTTGAAGGATCAACTGAATATCTACATCACTGAAATTGATTATAGACCTAATATAACTATTCAAATTACAGAGTTTCTAGAACATTTCATAACTAGAATGTAAAAATCATGGATCATAAAAAGAAAAAAATGATAATGTAAATTTTATCAAAATCAAAACTGGTTCTTCAAAAGCCATTCATAAAATTAAAATGCAACATAAAGTAAGAGAAATAATTGCACTCTCTATATGTTTGATAAAATATTTTTGTTTTAGAATATGTAAAGAACTGTTAAAACTTAGTAACGAGATAATAGTCAATTCACACAAAGAAAGTACAAAGGATTTAAAAATATACTTCACTATAAAAGATATAGAAATGGCAGATAATCACATGGAAAGATATTAGAGGTTGTCATTTCAGAAATGTAAATTAAAAACATAAATGACACAGCACTACATGTCTGTAAAAATAGATAAATTTATACATTTATAATAGCAAATTTGGTGAGCATGTTTTTCAAAAATGGATATCTCACTGCTGGTAGGAATGTAAAAGGACATAACCCTTAAGAAAACAGCTGGCAGAGGACATACAACTAGCAAATACCCAGCCATTCCACTTGTAGGCATTAATCCAAAACAAATAAAAAATATATCCATAAAAAGATACATACAAGAATGTTCATAGAAGCTTTCTTTGTAATAGTGAAAATTGGAAACAACCCTAATCTCTAGCAATAGGTGAATGGATAGACATATGATGGAATATTACTCAGTATTGAAAACACAATATTAATGAATGCAAAAACATGATAAGACATAAAAATCAATAGGCTAAGTGAGAATTGTTAGATGCAAAAAAAATAAATTCTATGATATTATTTATATAAAATTTTTTAAAAAGTAAACTAAACTCTAATAATAGAAGAAAGATTATTGAATGTCTGGGGCTTGGGACAAAGAGATGGATACACTGCAAAAAAGTATATGGAATATTTCAGGGATGAACAAAGATGCCTACATACTATTTGTGTTATTTTCACAGCTCATAATTTCATAGGCATCATTTATTTAATGGCATATTTTAAATGTTTTCAGCTTATTGTACATAAATTATTCCTCAATACAGGTTGACTAAAAAAAAGAGATATAGTTAAATTTGAAATTTTAAGGTTTCAATTCTTAAGTACTCATGAACTTAACATTAGAGTGTTAAAAAAAAATGATGTACCAAGCTTAAGAACTTGGAAACAGAGCAAAATAAGCTTATGGAAAACAAAAGGATATAATTATAAATATAAATGTATATAAACAATTAGAATATATAAATACTTGCATTGATAAATAAATTCAATAGCTGGTTTGATGAAAGAATCCAATTAAATAGATAAACCACCAACTAATCTAATCAAATAAGGGAATAATCATATAAACATACTGAGGAAACTAATTATAGGACAATATTTTGCTCAACTCTGTTCAAATAAATTTGAAAATTGACTTCAGATTCTCAAGAATAAAATTATGGGAAGAGCACAAAATGTAAACAAACTAATTACCGTGGTAGGATTTGAGAAAGCCGTCAAACAGCTCCTCTCCAAAATAAAACAACACTCAGATTTTTCACAAGTGATTCTATCAAACCTTTGAGATATAAATATTTTTAGTGTTATTTAAATGTTTCCAAACAGAGAAAGGAAGAAAACCTCCCTCTCTCTTTTCCAACTTCCCTTTTTAGGATGTTCACATAACTTTTCTTTATATGTTCTTGGCTCTCTTCAAATGCTTAAAGATTGTAGTAATGGGCCAGGTGGATTATAGGTAGCTGCCATAAAGTTTCTAGCTCTATGCATATATATATATATCTGTTTCTTTCAGATTGTTTCCCTTATATCTGTGGGAGAACTGGCTGTAACCTCTGTGAAGATAGAGACAGTAAGTGAATAGGAATGCTTTCTTTTAGGGAGCACATTCTGGCTACAGACAAACCAGACTTGGATACCCCACAACTGTTAAAGCAAAAAAAAAGGTTTTGTGGGTTTTTTTTGGTAGTAGAAAAACATAGGATTTTTACTACTGAGTTGAGCTGCTGTTCCATTTTTCTGTTCCACTCTTCTGAGGAGGATTAACTCCACGTTAGCTAGATACCAACTCTTATAATTCCCTTTCTTCATATTTAAATGATTAAGGCAATCCATGTTTCTTACAGTTTGTTTCTAACTTCAGCTCATTATCTAAATTTGAAGACAAAGTAACCTATAATATATAAATCAGTTGATTTTATTCTACATAAAGTATTTTAATAATTTCTGTATACAATTTTTAGGGTTCATCCTACTTTAAAAAACACTTATTTTTGTATTTCAACCCTTCCTACCTGAAAGCAATTATAATTTGATCCCTGCTGAGAAAAAGGAAATAAATGATGAAGCTGAACTGTAATGAGCAACAAATAGAATATTTTTCAGGTTTTTAAAAATTATGGTAAAATATACATAAATTATAACTTACCATTTTAATATTTAAATGTATAATTATGTGGTATTAAATTCATTAAAATTATTGTTCAACCATCACTACCCTCCATCTCCATAACATGACTAGGTGTTTAGAAACATTAATAAATATAAAACTTCATTGACCTATTTAACATTTTCTAAGGTGTTGGCATCAGGGAGAGAAGA